ACTTTTTAAAACAATGACCACGACACTGGTTATTATTGATGAAACCCTGCAGCAAAAGTGGATGGACTATGACAAGACAGTAAAGTAAATACTTTGATGAAACTTCTTACACGATATGACAGAGCTCCTTATGACATTTTCTCTCTCTCGTTGCTGAGACAGTGGGGTACTGATTACGGTTTAGTCCATGAAATCATTCCCAGCTGGTTTCTCTCGTTAAGAGCCGAACGCTGACATTAGCAGCGATTACAATGTCTCTGGGTCAGTCTGTGACTGAAGTCTTTATGTGAGAGAATTCACTGGAGCACAGGCCACAAAATTAGCTGTTTGGTATGCAGACAGACAGACTGTATTCCAATTGAGGCGTCACACTCTGATCCTCAGCCTCTAATCCGTGTTGTTCATGGCCACAACTGTGCAGGAATGTGCTTCCCATTGCAACCGAGTGATTAGGGTTTTTGAAACATCTCAGAATTGTATTCTGTGTCACGCTCTCCATTTTAATCACACTCTCACACTACTTATACTTGAGAAAGTCTGGTATTTTACCCATACTTTGACACTTATACCACAGATGTGACTGTTTGCCTTTAGGCAATAGGTCACTTAAGCCAATGTTCCACATACTGGGATTGATAAACATACTTTTAGTGGTGCTACCTCTGCTTTATGTGATTCTGGGCTCATTTACTCTGTGTCAACCCACCGTTTTGCACCAAAACTGAAAGTTAAAAAAAAAGTTGCATTTAATGTGAAAAATCTCTCAAGGACAAAAAATGTAATCACTATAAAATAGCTGGTTCCTGTGGATGTCTGTTGGCAGGCAACAAGCTTTTCAGGATCTCTTTAAGTAGCAACAAGGTTAATCTCCACAATGTGGGAAGAGAAATGTGAAACTGTGCAAATTTTGCAGTTATCCAAAGTAACTGCTTCCCCACCATTCTCTCCACATAAAACACCACTTTGCAAGTCCATTTTTTAAACCCAGTCTCACATAAAAATGGTGCATTAGCAAGCATGGCAAAAATGTCTACTTTAAGTTTCATTTAAATCAAATTGCGATATGCCAGTAGTTTTGGCCTATTACTCTGCAATCATATCACAAGACTGTCAATTATCTTTCTTTTCTATCTAAAAATAGGTAATGAAATCATTTGGAGATTGGATTGATGGTGTAAATTCAGGTTTCACACAATCTTTGATTAGGTTCACACATTTCGCTGTTGGTTTTATGACAAAGAGGCAACAACTGTGCATTTTCAGAGTACTACAAGACTATGAGTTTCTTGCAAAGTCACTTAGTTCAACTACAAAATATTACAAATGACACTGGGCCAATGACGATTCTAGAAAATAAGTTAAATCATACATTAATTATATGCAGCTGATTTTGTTTCAAAATGAGTCACTCGCTGGATGAGGCAGATGCAGAAAGTTATCCACTCTAAATTTACAGCCTGCTCACAGAGATCTCCACCATCACTGCTTTTTTAAATGTTTTTTTAATTTAAAAGCAGTAAAAATGTGCAGGCAGAAATCCTAGTGCACAAGGAGACACTTTCAAACTTTTTAAAAATCACAGTGGGTGAAGCCTAGAAATGCTCATCTCTAGAGAGTTGCTCCTTATAAGCCCCGTTGTTCATATGTCCAGGGCAGAGCTGAGCTTTGCCTTCTACACTCTGTATTGTGTTAAAGTTGCTAGTCCTCACAAAACTTTAGACTAACTATAGACATTTTTTAAAAAACAAACAAACAACAGCTACAGGATTCATATGCAATAAGACTATGATTATTACCATCTAATTCAAGATAAAAAGGTCACAAAGGATTTTTATGATTTCAAGTTTAGAAATCATGTTAGATCAGGTAAAAAGAGGAACAAAAGGACATCCAGTGTAAAAATCTGCTGGTAACTTCCTGTTACAAGGGAGCAGTTAAAAGCAGTTAAATAGTTAAATGTTGTTGTTTTTCATTCAAGGAGTTTTATAATTACCTCATGTTAATTTTACATTAAATAGTTATGATATTAGTTATCATATTCCAAAAATCTCACAATATATTACTATATACTGTGCTATATTAACTGAGATGTCTTGATTGAGAGACAAAATCGTGAACGATGAACTAATTTTGCCTCCAAAATATCTTTCCAGGGGGCAGAGCTTCAGAAGAAAACATGACCACTTTCTTTTACTTCATCATAACTAACGTTGAAATGACTGAATTCTAATAGACTGAACATCCTTGAAGAATATGTGAAAAGTGCAAAACTAAATTATGTTTAGATGAGAAATATAAATTAGTCATGTTTGATATATGAAGTCCACATTTGCAAACAACCACCCAGTTGCAATTTTTTTCAACGTGGATCCATCCTGCTTGGTATGCATGTCATGTTACAAAGTTCAAATCATCTTAACCTGGTTTCTTGTGGGGGACATTTGCAGAGGTGTGGACTCGAGTCACATGACTTGGACTCGAGTCAGACTCGAGTCATTAATTTTATGACTTTAGACTTGACTTGAAAAAATGTTCTAAAACTTGTGACTTGACTTGGACTTTTACACCAATGACCTGGGACTTGAATTGGACTTGAACCGGTTTACTTGAAAAGACTTGATATTTTACCCCAAATATAAAATTTAACATGCATATTATATAGAGATTGAAAATGTGACGTCATTCAGGGGTAAACCGCAAAGGATTCTGGGAACTCGTGGCAAGAGGTACTAGCGCACGCAGGCTTTCAATTGAAATCAGTTATACAGCGATAAAAAGAAACACAAAAATGTCAAGAAGCTGTTGTATTATTAACTGCAATAGCCGGTCGCATGACAGCCACGGGAAGCCGACGGGTAAAGAGATCGGTTGTTATCGGATTACGTCGTTGAAGAGAAATTGTTCGAGCCATGTTTCCGAAGTAACAAAGACGCGACGGATGGCCTGGATTGCAGCCATTCAAAGACCAAATATAACGTCCCAGAACACTCCAGCTCACAGGTTAGTCTGCTCCAAGCATTTACACAAGGTCAGTGTTTTTTAGTAGTTAATGCGTCATTTTCATAACATAATTGGTGATATAGGTTACAAGCAAGTCTGGCGCTGAACAGAAATTGTCGCGCTATGCTCCTTTGTTTATTGTGCATAAATAGTGAATTGTCCTGACACAATATTGCGTTTCGCTTCTGTTATTATGGTACATTGACAAAAACATATACTTTTATTCACAGGATAAAACAGGTTTTTTGTATCACTAATTGCCCAGTACGATTACAGCATACAGTATTATTGTCACTGCTACATTTCTGTAACGCGTACCAGAAATTATTTCCACTACTAATTAATTACCGTTGAGCTCAAAGGTTATATTAATAAACGGTTAACGAATGTGTATTTATGAAGACGATTTGTGAGACTGGTAAACTTATGATACGTACGATGGTCCTGTACCCATCCGTCGGTAAACTGTACCTGGGCTTGTTGCAGTGACCTGAAGTTACTAAACTTCATGAGTGTATGCACTCACTCCAAGAACCGTATGATTATAAATATGCATATAAATATGCTACGATGAGATAGCTGACTTCATCTAACTAGCAAATGTTGTCCAGGCTACGTTGGTGATGCAGTTTTTTTTAATGTGTATGATATTTTTGTCATGCGATTTTAAAGCCGGTCCTACAACCGCATCCAAGAATAACATGCAGCTTATCTCAGAACTGTCGGTGAAAATTATTCTTGGAGCTAGGTTTAATTGAGCTGCATTTTAAAGAGGTGCAATTTCACAATTTGTGTATATTTTCTAAGTTCACTATTTTGTCATGTGTTGAGAAAAACACAGATTTTAAAATTACATGGTCTAATATTTACATTTAGCATAACTGCAACATGCTTTTTTTCGTTTTTTTTTTTTAAAGACTCGAAAGGACTTGAAATTCAAAGTTTCAGACTTGTGACTTGACTCGGACTTTTACACCAGTGACTTGAGACTCGACTCTGACTTGCCTGACATTACTTGAGACTTGACTTGAGACTTGAGGATAAAGACTTGAGACTTACTTGAGACTTGCAAAACAATGACTTGGTCCCACCTCTGGACATTTGTGTTCTTTGCACTCAAATGTCCCCCACAGTCAGCAGATCTTAATCCAATAGAGCACCTTAGTAAAGATGTAGTAAAGTGAAGATTTGCTCATTGATTATGGAAGTGCGTCTGACAAATCTGCAGTAATTGCGTGACAGTTTCACGTAACTATGGACCAGCACCTTGTTGAATGAAAGATTTAAGACAGTTCTGAAGGCAAAAAAGCCAACGTGTGTACTAGCAAAGTGTAACTAATTAAGTGACAGGTGAGTGTGTCTATGTTTAGTCCAAACATTCCTTCTGGGTTAATGGAGGATGCTGTGCAATGGATTACCGGCACTGGCAGGCCATTACATACCTGGAAGCGAAAGCTAATCAGAGTGCCGGCAGAGCAGCAGAACTTCTGAAATTATCACCTTTGTTTTACCTTTTAACACTCTACATCTGTGCTAATGGTGTTGTCACAGTGCTGACATTTTTATGGTTGCCTAGAGCACATTTCCAATGCAAACACTGCACGGAGGCGTCCATAACTCACAGGTTGTACGATTCACGCATAAAAAGGACATAAATTAAGCACAAGAGGACAGGAAAAGCAAGAGCAAATCTGTCAAGCAGAAAAGATTTTGCTTGAGCAAGAATCCTCAGAGTTTTAATGCTGAGCTACACAGTCTCATTGAGCACGTAAATGATTTAATGTTTTTAGTACCTTGAAGATATGTGCACAATCCACATGACATGACACGAGAGAGTTTATTATTATGATATTGACAAGCTTTTTTTAATTTTACTTTCAGTTAACTAAACTATTTCATTCTCACTTGTTTTGTATTTTTTACTCAAATCTTTTCATATTTTTAAATGAATCCTATATTTATTATGAGTAATATAGTCAAAGAAAAACAAAGTACTCATAAGTAAATGTAAGTATGCACTTTTTCTGTCTTGAGGGATTTTTCCAGTCCTCTATTACAAATTACATTAATTAAATTAAAAAAATTACATGGTACAAAGTATTGCTATGGTTAAAAAAAGCAGTTTTTGAGCTGATAAACCATATAACACAAGCGAGAAAGCTCAGTAAAAAGACCTTTATGAATTTCAGTTTATTAATGCATAACTTTGATTATTCATGATACTCATTACTTTTTATACAGCAAATAGCTGAATGTCAGAGAAATGACCAAGATTTTGGTCAGTATCCATTAGTGTGAAGAACGATGATAAAAGCAGGGTCAGAAATATTTTAGTTATATGGCTAATAACTTCCCCTGGGCACAGTTTAGTTGACATCGAGACAGACAGAGCCTTATGAAAGTTCGCTTAAGAAATGTTAGAGTTTAGATTAAAGAGCCATATGCAGGACTAGGGCAAAAAGGGAGAACTTTAATTAAAGTTAGAAAGAACAAAGACTTGTAGGGGAGAAAGCCGAACACAAGATCACTATAAAGTCTGTGCAGGTAAATCCATACCAAAGCCCAACAATGATCCAATATAAGAAGGGAACAAGCTCTGTGGGGAAAGGAAAGAAAAGTAAAACAGGCGAGTAAAATGGCATTTTTCTACTCTGAGTGCTCTTTACTGCGAGCCAGCATTCACACATTCACACAGTGCTTTGTTCTACGTGGCTTTCTAAGTATCATGCCTACTCATTTCATCAACATGCAGCTTGGAGGAGCCAAGGGAATTTAACCACTAACCTGATTAAGAGACAACATGCTCTACCTCGTGAGCCACAATCACAGGGGTTGAAAAAAACTAAACAAAAAAAAGGACAAAAAAACAAGAAGAACAAGCCAAGACAGAAAGAAAGTGATTAACATGATTAAAATTCTACTGTGGTAAATAAAATAAAAATAATTCCCCCGACATGAACCTTGGACAGGTTTACCTGCTCCAGGCCTGGGGAGGGAGGTCGAGGGAGACCACCTCAAGGGCCTTAGTCCATGGAAGAGACAGCTGAAGTGCCAATCAAGACTTGTCCATAACAACCACAGTGTTCAAGCATAACGGTGCTCATAAGTGTACGTGGGATCACAATACGCTAAATGGCAGGTTGATGATTGATTTTGTTATTGTTTTATCAGATCTGTGGTCACATGTCTTGGATGCGCAGGTAAAGGGAGGTGCTGAGCAGTCACTACATGGTGATGACTTGCATCACCAATCACTAATTCAGGCATCATCATAAATTTCTACATAAAACCAAATCAATGGCCTCTACTTTGGTGGTATCAGGGTCTTGTCTCTGCTTTTTGCAGATGATGTAGTTCTGTTAGCCTCATTCAGTGGCGGCCTGGGTAGTGACAGGAAGAATACTATCGCGGATATGAACAGGTAAAATGAATTTCTTTGAATGGTGACTGGGCTCTCCCTCAGTGATGGGGTGAGGAGTTCAGTAATTTGGGAGGGACTCAGAGTAGAGCTGGTACTCCACACCAAAGTAGGAGGGGGCTCTGAAGTAGATCCAGGACATGATGGAGAGAATGAATTTCCCAGCTGGCTTGGGAATGCTTCAGTGCATAAAGAGATGAGTTGGATGAAGTGGCTGGGGACAGGGAGGTCTGGGCATCTCTGCTTAGGCTGCTGCCCCCATAACCTGGCCCTGGATAAGGAGCTGTTGATGGATGGGATGAAAAATAATAAATGAACTATTATACACAATAAGTAACTATGTTTTTTCACTCTAGTTTGAATTTAGAAAATCCAACTTAGATATTAACAAATCCCACTTTGTGTATATATTAAAACAAATTTGTGCTCCCCCTCTGTATAGTTCCAGTGGTTCCACTTAGCAGAGTTGTACCATTTATTGTAATTGTACTCAGACACTGTGACTACCTCTTAAAACAAGCATTGCTTCTCTCTTTTCCTTTTTTCTCATTTTTATTTCAACAATCAATGCATGCTTGAAATGAGCTGAGTGTGTAACAAGTTGCACATCTTACAGTAAATAATTAATATTTCCCCAATGCACAATGTTGCATGCATACAGTTTGTTGCTATATATGAACAAAGCCCAAACCTTTCTGTAAATGCAATCAGTAATCTGCTGCTTTCATCCCAAAGAGCAAAGGCAAATCCAACTGAAAAGAAGCAGTAATGCCAACTGTCAGGCTCCTGTAAGGGGACGGTCACCAGATGTGGCAGAAACATGAAACAGTGAGTAGTAAAGCAGCAGGACTGGATTCACTGCTCTCGCACAAAGACAAGAACACTAACACAACAAACATCTATATATCTATCTATCTGTTGTGAAGGTGTGATATCACTGTCTCTGAATGTACAATGAATACAAATATTTAAAAAAAACATCCACATCAATAAAACAGGACACACCTTTTTCTGGTGACTATGTGGTAAAATTGGGGGTTATTTGCATTTCAGACACTTCTAACAGAAAGTACAAAACTGTCATCTTTCATTCTTGGACAGAACAACCGCTGCCTCTTCTGCCTTTTATCCTCACAATAAAGTTGGAGCCATACTGATGCCTTCCCAGTGCTGCTGTTCAGCTGATTTTTTACAGCTCTGGCACACTACACCAGAACCCTTGTTGTTCGTAAGACGCATGAATTCGCTAGAGGGGTGCTTTGGAGCACATGCCAGTTTATTGGGTGAGCATGGTCCCTCGGCACATGAAACTGTAATAAAAATCCATCTGTTAGAAGACTGATGGTAAGCCAGTCCACTGGAACAGAAGCTTGTCCTCTGGATGTTTGTGTCAGGCTTTTGCTTGTGATTTTTTAGACACTTGTGGAAAAATCAAAAGTATGCTCTTTGTTTTTATGCTTGATTCTCATAAAAATAAAAGGGAATGTGTTCAAGCCAAAGAAGACAACCTATTAAACACACTGTGATCTACAATGTTCTCACATGCTCTTAAGCTACATAGCTCTTGCATTTCAGAGACTGTGAATGCTTAATGATGAACCTCTCATCTCCTTTTGAAGGCGATGACAATGTATAATAATGTTGTCATGACAACAGGGCAGAGAGTAGGAATTAAGTAGGTATGCGCACACAAGAAAATGCAAAATTGATTGACTCTGCATAATGTACCCTGAATGTGCGCTCTGTCTTTGGGAATGCTGATGAACACGGGGTGAGTCTCGTCAGAAAACAACATTCTGCAACACCTCAGGAATTATTAAGCGCATCTTTCATCTCTTTCTTCATGTGCCGTACACTTGTAAGTTCACTTTTTCACGAGCAGGTAGATGTATTAACATTACTAAAACATTTACCCATCTCGATAACGTATGACGGCAAACAGAGTTATCACGGTGTCTGGTTTCATGTCTGTGAACGTCCTTACGGTCAGGTCGGCTGGGGATTAATCTAAGCGAGGGAAACAGGATCTCTGTGATCTGAGGGAGCATATGTTCACATGATTTAAACAGAATGATTGAATCTGATGTACAATGGGCTGTAAGGGACTCTATATGTGCCAAATGCTCAGGCTATTCAACATGTCAACGTGATAAAATGTTATCAAAATTCTCCCCCTTGCAGTGCTGTAGTAATGTTTGCCAGCTGAGCAGGACAAGAAGCATGACTCCCTGGGGAAATTTCCAAGTACAAGCTTTGTTTCGGAAATGTATTATTTCATTTTTTTTCTTGAAATATGAAGGCGCATAATAAATACAAGCGACAACAGGGCTCCCTGTTGGTTTCAAATAGTGACACGCTCCTTAAAAGATGTACAGCAGCTGCCAAAACAAATCACTGCCTTCTAGATAACTGTCTTTATCATGTTGTCTCTTCAGAAGGGGTACCCTGCAGGAACTTGTTGAAAGTGAAAGTGAAATTGAAACTTAGAGCTAAGCTGATGAGTTAATGAATTCATAAGACGACGCTAGGGGCCTAAAATGTCTCAGATATGTGGTCACATGTCTAGTTCGTGTTGCTTTTGCTTGCCTGTCAAAACACGGGTCACTTAGCTGGCAGGTGGCAGGCTATTGTGAACTCTGGAAAACCAGACCCTGCAGTACTGATGAAAATTGGTAGAAGATTAAAAAGCAGTTGACTACAATCTCTGCCCACTGTGCTGAAATGCCAAGTGCTGCTGAGAGCAGGAGCGCAGACTATTGCATCACCTCCTGTGCAAAAACCTTGCTTTAATGAGGGTGTATTAACACTGCATGGTTTAATAGGGAGAATAGATCTTGCTTGTCCAACTCCCCATAGACTGCCAGTCATTGTGAGTCCACAGAAGTGGCATTTATATCCAGTGATTACAAAGCTGTTGGCTGAAGAGTCATTTGCTTATAAAGGGCATTTATTACGCAGGAAATAATTTTCGATTATTGATTCTTTTTATGTCATGAAACATTAATGTTTTTAGTCTAATTACAACTGATGCTCATCCTCATATACTGTAACGTATATTATGCACAACATTCATCACTACCAAACCTATAGCTTTGCCTATGCCTATTTCTGTCAAGCCACATTAGCCTCAGGAGGAAGGCGGTAAAGACAGAGGTGGTTAATGTTCTGCACCTGCACCTGCCGGGATACTAGCTGAGGCTTCTCTTCGACAGCCAGTTAAAATTGTACCAGAAATGAACAGTAAAGATTTACTGGAGCGCAAAGCCATATCCAGTGAACCAGGAAATGGTGCCGGGGTTCTTGCCATCATATAATTTTTCCTGAACATTCAGTGAGATGACAGGTAGAGACAGAGGAAAAGAGGCTGTGCAACAGTGTGCTTGACTGGTGATGAATTCTGTAGAGTGTGAAAACACTTTCCGTCTATTGAAAACTAGTGTCATGCTGTAATGTTTGTGAAGGGTCTTGTCGAGACAAATGAGAAAGGTTGGTGCTACAAAGGATGGGTTCGACAGTTTCCAGTCTGATAGCTCGGCAGCTGTGAAACGTGATTATTCAACCACAAAACAAATTCAGCGTTCCATTTAATTTTTAAATTCTTGAACAAATATTTTGCACTGAATCCACTGAACCAGGGAAGGGATTAGTAAAGGAATGTTATATTTAAGAGCGATCGAAATGAACCTGTAATGTGTACTTTGAATGTCCAGTAATTACTGAGGGTTGAGAGATTTAACTTTTTTTGCTCACATCAGTTTTCTCCTCCATTCGACCCCCAAGAGGTAGAGTTTTCTCTCTGTGTAAGCCCTGCACGTCTTCACAAGGGTACGGCAACATTTGACTCACAAAATTGTCTCGCTTTTAAAAGCAATACCTTCACCATCCACATGCTGAAAAGCTCAGACACTCAAAAACTGTGAGAGAGAGCAAGAGATGCCTCAGGATTTAAATATACATGCCGCAGCGTTAAATCCCCGGGGATAGTGTAAAGAATCCAAAAGTGCTCGGATAAACAAAAATGATTGAGCGTGTCTGCAAATGCACCCACATTTTAAATCCTCATCGTATTAAAGATGATGTTACGTAGCTCCCAAAGCATGTGTTTAATATTCATGAAGTGCTCAACACCTTGGGAGCTCCGCACAATCTAGAGTAAAAAGAAATATTGTTATGAAGCCTGGTAAACAGAGCATTGAAGAAAGAGTGGAAAACCCCCATTTATCACACACCCACTGTCATTTCCTCATCCTTTTTAAACTAGCAGCATGAGCTGCAATAGAGTTCAAGAAGCCAGGGGATAATGGACTAAGGTGATTTCCATGGACAAAAAAGTCAAAATGGCAATAACCACCAAGGATGGTCAGACACATGGACTGTCATTCTAATATGTAAAATAAAGGCACGTTTTTCATCCAGTGAAAAACTAAACACAGTCCTTTGATTGTGATGTTATTACATTGACAAAATCAGTCAACCTAGAGATTTAAACACCTGACAAAAGCTTCAAAGCCACATTTACCAGGATTTTTTTATTTTTGCCTTGATGACGCACACGCAGACACAACTGGAAAACAATAATGCTATTCTTTTATGGCTGGCAAAGATAAAGACCTAAACACCACACAGCAGAAGCAAGATAAGAACTAAGAGGGCAGACAGCTGTCTTGAATCTGTTTGATCTGATTGACACGGCTGGGAGGAACCTGTGGAAAAGGCTGCGCTGAGGAGCACGCTAACAAAGCCACTTTGCTTAAATGTATCACTGGCTGATTACCTTTAGAGATTATATATACTTGTAGTGACTCAGGAGTTATCTAAAAGTGATGTAACACCATATTTGAATGTTGGTAAAGTGCCTGGCACTGATGCGTTATATTTCTGTAACAGAAAGGAAAGCTGGGGAACTTACATTTAGGAATTTCCTGTTCCTGTACAACAGCTGATGTACAATATTCAGTTTTATTGATTGTTTCAACTTTACTGGCACAGTATCAATGAGTAGGTGGAACTAGAATATGAGATGGAGTCAGGACAAATCAATCAAAGTGAGATGGAACTACTGTCTTTTTGTGCTTATTCTTTTAAAAATGAAAATGTGAAAGCAATTTACCTGGCAGTTGTGCAAATTGCTGTACTTTTTCCTTCATAAATATCTATCCACATAAGAAAGGCGTAAAGGTAATTTTCTTTTGAAGGTAACTACAAAAAAGCAAGCATTTAAATATAATTAATGGTCTGAACATAATTAAATTTATCCCATTGAGAGCAAGTATTGTGCATTACAATCTCTGTTGATTATGATAGTTTGCTCATAAGGAGAAACAGGCTCCCTTTCTAAAAGCAGCAGGTAAAAAAGAAGGAACTGAATGTGTCAAAGTGAAGTGAATAAATAATGGATGTCATGACGCTTCTGTGGAAGCTGTTGGCTTTGAAATCCACTCCCTGGTTGAGTCACACTCCCAGTTCGCTCCCTTCATTTTACATTTAACGGGCCCATCATCTCAAACGCGCGCACAGACACAAGCACACAAGCACACACAGGCATTTTCTCCTCATCTCTAGCTGGGGCTGTCTGAGGCAGTTAGTGCTAGAGAGGTGCTGATCTCACAGCTACCAGGCAGGTGTTGTGTCCATCTTAGAGGCTCACGTCTGCATACATCAGCTTCAATTTCACCCTCGGTTCTCGGGGCTTGTGAGCCAAGCTTACAGACCAGAAGGCACCATCAGCCAAGAGCAAGAATAAATAGCTATATGAGCCTCTTTCGACCAGCTGGTGCATTGTGAAAATGGCAGGGTTTCTCAAAGACCTCTAAGGTTAACTGGTTTTCTTTTGTAGCGGCAAAATTATATCTAAGCTCCTTAAATGGTGCTGTCTGCTCATGCTCATATTTCGAGGGAAAAGGGCTTTAAGCTGTGGATGTCCCAAATGTCTTAACAGCAAATAAATCATTTTCCAGTATTACTGACACCAGGAGATGACAGAAGGTGCCTTGGTATTAAATACCTCATTAAAGTTGAAGCAGACGAAATTGATTTTACGTCCCCACATGACTCTATTACAACTCATACAATAAGGAGTGATCAAAAATAACAGTTTAAATGTGCTCAAACTTTAATTTAAAGAAAAATATTCCACCCTCTGCAGAAAATTTAAAATGCATGCTGTGAGCTCCACGTGTCAGGCTCTCGCGCAGATGGATCAAAGTAAGAGGGATAAAGGGCTCCCTTGCCTTTGATAATAATTAATTACACACTCGAGCAAAAACAAATGCATATGCATGTGTGACGCTAAATGTGAAGGGATTATACCTCTCAGAGTAATGCAGTGGCCTCTTAGCACCATATCGTAATTTTCTTACTTTGCATTGTGCGCTTGTTTGTTGCTGAATCAAGTAAAATAAGAGCAGAATTGACTTTTTGGAGCAGATGGAGGATGTCCTCTTAATATGAAAAGCCCTGTGAAATATTAAAAGCGTTCGTGTCTTCAGCATGAAGGGGTGCATTTCTTGCTATTTCTGTTATTGTTAAAAAAAAAAAGGTAGCCTATATCATTGAAAACAGAACAGAATGTTCTTGTCTCTATGTCTCCAATATCAGAGCGTCGTCCTTCAGCTCTAATGTGACTCATCTGGCTGTCAAACTGGGAAGGAAAGAAGACTGGCTAAAGGCCACTTGTCTCTTCACTGAGCCCAGACTGCGTTTGTTCTGTCAGCCCTGGACAGCTCAACACAGGCTCACATGCCACCTCTGTGTCATGTGTAGGTCAATCTAAAAGCACAGTCAGAAACACTGACATGATCACTAATGCAGACCATACGAACACAAAAATATTACAGAAAAATATTACAAAAACGTAGTTTCTTTGCAGTTTTCTGAGACAGTTAATAGCATGCTAGCTGGCATCACCCAGCTAGTAACAAAGCCTGTATACAAGCTTGTATGCAGAGTGTTTTATCAGTGTAAACAGTGATCAAACATTACTCTTAGTGCATAAAGGAAACACTTATAGCATTTTTTAAAGCACCATTAATGTTAACGCCCTCCTAACTTGGACGTTTCTCAAAGTGGAACTACTTTTATTCCTTTAACTTCAAGGGTTAGCAAGGATACCCAGTTTAAAAACACACCAAACACCCTCAGCATACATAAAACACTTAGCATAAAACAATTAAATCCCACCTTTTCAACCGCCACGTTAAATATACATTAATGTGTTTACTGAGGGCAATTATCTAACCTGTGTAGATGAAATGAGTGAGGAGGGTGTCCAAAAATGGGGGTGTGGGATAAACTTAAAACGACAGTAAGGGCTCTGTCAGATCCCTCCGCCTAATTGACTGTCCCGGTGTGAGCCGCCTCACCTGTTTACACGCTGCTTCTCCCTCCGCCCGCGCTGGCCGCATCATCTCCTCCCTCTCACAGCCGAGCGGGTCTCCGAGTCTCTGTCCTCCAGCTCCAGCTGTATGTCTGCAAGGGCTGCTCTGCGCCGGTGGGGATATATCGTTACCGATGCTCTCCATCTAACGTGAAAATTTCATACAACTGTTTTGAATACCGGCCGAAGCAATGGGAGCTTTCGGAGTGATAATGGGGCTTTTACAGTACGCGGGACTTTACATTCAACTTAACGCAGCTCTCAACGACGGACACGGAGAGGTGGATAATCACATCTCTGGGAACGGTAAGTTGTGTTAATGCGTGTGTTTGTTGGAGTGGGAGAGTGACGCTCTCATTGCATTGACTCGTAAGTGTTTGGGTGGGGTTTAGTGAACAACAACGTTTGATGTCAGTGATTAGTTCATATACATTACGGATGGGGTGTGTGGGGCTAAATTAAACGATGAGTTGTGCACTTTCATCATGTTTTATTGTGTTTACACCAACGTGCTCGACCATGTTTGAGCATTTTAATATCCCTGTATATGAAACTTGTTTTTCATTACTCATTAAAAGCACAAACACACACACACACACACACACACACACACACACACACACACACACACACACACACACACACACTTAGGTTAACAACAAGCAGGGGCAGGACAAAGGCTTTTGAAGCCAGGCAGGTGTTTCATCATAATGTCTTCTTACTAAAGTGTCTTCAAAATGTTTGTGTGTATAATTATTGTAGCACACACAAACACACACTCACAAAATAGATGCTGCAACTTTGGTAAATGTTTACATATCCTTAAATGTCAGCGGAAAATAAACATTTTTTAATGTTTTTTTTTAATATCAGAGAAAATGTGAGACTAGTATAAACTGTAATAAAGTCAGTCATCTTTCATTTCTTCATTTCTTAACCATGCATTGCTCTTTGGTCTGACAAGTACATTTTTTTTGTTAAATTTTACTTTACACATAACTGACTCAGGTCTTTCCCCAAGGCACAACACCCCCAACCAAACGTCTTGTTTTTAGTAATTTCATACAGTATCCCTAATTATTTTAAGTAATGTCTTTTTTCCCAAGTCAATAGGTGATGGTAGAGACAGAGGGACAGAAAATGTGAGGAGAGATTGGATGGGATGGTGCAGTGTAGGGCACCCTTCGAAAATCAGTTTTGCAGTGAGATGGTAGCCTGCCCATTACTGGGACCACTACAGTGGTGTATTAATGTTTCATTTTAAGACAGTTTAGAAAATCTGTGTCTCTGAAAACTTTATTTTGAGTTGTATTTCATCAAAAAGTATAAAATAATGCTAATTAATATTGCTAAACAAGAATTGTAGAGTTATGAAAAAGTAGATATGAATTACAAATCCAATCACTGTGTGAGCTGTTCAAATTGACAAGGCTTACCAGAGTAGTTCAACATACGGAAAATTAAACCCAGGGTGGACTGAAGATTTAGTCTGATGTACAACAAAATAAAATCTAACACTATAAAGTAAAACACAAATGCAAAAGGATGTGCACATTATGTGTTTTAAAGGACAAAATACAGCTTTAGTATTCACCCAGAGGAGAATGAAGTTCTTGTACTGTGCTGTGTGCATTTTATGGATGTGGGTAGAGGCTTGAGATGCCCTGTTATTCAAGTAACTTGCCATATTTCATACTTAGAACTGGCTAAAAAATTGTAAGTTTGCAGTCGTCCGGTTGTCCTTCTAGGTTGGTATTTCACAGAATAACACATGACTTATTGTAGTTTCACTGGGATTGCTGTACTGTACCTGTGCTAACATAAAAATGGTATGTAAAAGCCTACATTAAAATTCCCTTCCCTTTAGATAAGTGTCTACCCTTGCACCGTCAACAGCAGGATCTGTTGGGCAACGATAAAACCTACTTCAGACTGAAACATTTAATGTTTACCTGCACGTTTGAATGCATATTTTCAGGTCATAGTCACTGAAACCACTGTTTCATTATTTGTTATATTTTATTTTACCAGCTCTAATAATTTATTTGAATGTGAAAAACAACTGATTTCGTTTTCTGTGGTTCATACATTGTGAAATTTTGAACAGAATTATCATTTATAGCTAATAGCAATCTCACCTTTCTCCTGCACCTCCTAACCTTACTGTTACATAATTAAATTGCGTGGTTTGCCTTCAGCTTGCTGTGTTTAGCATTTTAGCTTTGACTTGACAAACTATAAATTCTGCAGCGGCGTCACAAGGATGGACTGTACTGGACAGGTTAGAAAATCAGTAGCATTTTTCCCAAAGGAAGCAAATTAAAATCGACTGTAGTGTTGCCATTAATACTGTTTCCCAGGCAAAAAGAAGAAGGAACGCCTCCGTGTGTTTAACAAGAATAAAAAACTATGTTGAGAAAACAACCTAGAAGCTTTCTACTGTCATATTTGTACAACATCAGCTTCACCACCAGAAAACAGAGTTGTACTATCCTTTGTGGTTAGATAAGATTTTTTTTTTCCTTTCTTTGTAATCAGACTCTTTGATAAATGGCTCAAGCAGAGGGAAGCCGAGCCTTCATGCAGAGCAGAGAGGCTGGATGCACAGTTCTGGAGAGTGCTTGTTAGATTTAGCCCTGACTCATTTGTTTCAGATAAGTGCATCTGGCCCTTGCACCCCAGTTTCCACTTGAGCTGAAGTGTAGATTGAATCACCTACAACGCAAAATTATATGTTCTGTCTGAAGACAAACACGTTCAATGGATCAGTAGCTTCACCCCATTGTTTGCCACATGCATCAGAATAAGACTCTTACCTGCCATAAGTACTTGAAGGTCAAGTGTCAGCAGTAAGGAAAGCGACAGAAGCTGTAATAAGTGATGTTATGCATGGGGGAGGTCTCGGGGGTAACTTATAACAGAAAGTGATGATAATGATGATGGGAGACATGTTGGAAGCCTTTCAATTTTAGCATAAGATGTTGCAGTGTTAGTGTTCTTTGGCAATGCTCATCCTGCTCTGTGAGTGCACTACCTTCACAGTGTGGGGGCGTGTACCAATTCATTAGGCTTCCAAAGTGGCTAGGATGCTTGGTGTCCTCTTAATGAGGACAGCCAGCTCAGTCAGTTTGCATTGGCTTTTAATTTGATGGAGCTCTGACAGTGCAGGAGGTGGGGGGCAACAGATTGCACAGTCATGCTGTCACAGCAGAGGGTGCTGGTGGAGGCTTGGTAGGAAACAGAAGGGCAGTGAAACAAGAGTGTGTGTAACACAACGTGACTTGAAGTGATGACTGGTGATACAGAAATCTCCTCTGATCTGTAAGAAAAAAAATATCAATCAGTTGTCTTGATATTTCTGTGAAACCTACCTGACTTTATGGACATTCAAGTCAAACAAAAATTAAGCTTTGAACAATCGACTTTCAGTACTTGTAGCTACATTAAAATATCATATTTTATTTAATAAATTAAGACTATTAATAAAAATTTAAATATAACAAAGAATTTCTCGTGGAAAAAAAAGCAGTTGTGATTGTTTTAATTATAGATTCATCTGCTGCTAATTTTCCTCCAATAACCGACTGTGATTTGCCCAATTAAATGCTAACAACAGTGAAAAGGTTCATTACGATGACAAGAGATTGATCATTTTACCTGATGCCTTTGGCATATCGTTAGCTTCATAGCATAAGTGCCTAAGTCATTTTTTTGTGTTTTCGGAAAACAAGAAAAAACTAATTTTCTAAATATCACATGCATATTTTTAATTGATATTTTCAATTTGACCAAAAAATGACTTAGGCACTTATGCTATGAAGCTAACGATATGAAAAATTGTCTGTGAAGTAGGTGATGTTCGTAACACTGAACAACACTTGAGGAGGAATTACGAGAGTTCAGAAAAGCTCCGTTTTCAACAACATTAAGCAGTGAACAGTTGTCATTATCTTAACTGGTGTGTATATTAATATGAGCTGCTTCACTATTAGCAATTACTCGACAGCCACAAATCCAGCCACAGGGGGTCACCAGCTAGTGCATTCCCAGAGCTGGTCCCAAGCCTTGATTATTGGGAGTGTTGCATCAGGCAGTGCATCCAGTGCTTTGCCAAATGAAACATGCATCCACAGTGCCGACACCTGTGGAAACATTTTTTGGTACTATTTTAGGTCATCTTAAAATATTTGACGTGTATATTTTAAGAACCAAAATGAACAAAATACTTCTATTTTATATTTAAATACTTCTCTTCATTGGCTAACTATTATGTCTTGAATTGGTTTTATAATTTTATTGTTGACTGGCACCAGTGTATATTTCCGATCTCCTGAAATTGTACACTCCTGGTCTAACCTGAGGTCCTCAGCGAAGGCTAGTTACCCCACAATTTCCCTGAGAAGACCTGAATGGCTCACTTTTGTCTTTTAAATCTCTTAAAGACGCATTTTCATAAGTAGGCTTTCTCTGATCCTCCATTCTGAGTTATTTCTATGTTGTCCTTTGTAATTGCTTTATCACCTTCTGCTAGGGATTTTTAATTTATTTTATATTTGCTTTTAATTTACTTGTTTTTTAATTTTAATTGTCTTCATTCATCGCTTTTAATCTCCCTGTGCTGCCTGTATTGTTATACCTAATGTTTCATCTTTATCTCCTCTTAAATGTTTTATATGCTGTTTATTTCCTGTCTTGTCTCGTGAAGTACTTCCTAATGTTGTTTTTTAAAGGTGCTATATTAATAAAGTTTTAGTATTATTATTATTATTACCAGCAAAAATCTGTGCTGCAGACAGTTATTCTTTGCTTTGCTCATGCATTACAACACAGACATGAATGTAAATTTGTCATGTTATTCTTTTTTATGTTCGTTATATCACTGTATCTAGTCAGACGGCCAAAACAGCTGTTCATAAACACCAAACAAAAAATACATGTTTTTCT